ATTTTCAATTCAATAAAGAAAGCGCCGTCGATTTCTATTTCATCTTTTTCTCCTACAAATTTCTCTTGAATTTCCTTGTTAAATTGTTCTATTGTAAGATCTGGGTGTTAACAATGTTCCTTTACGTTTATTGTCATTTACATTCCGTTATTTAATTTCCGCAATTTACTTTCTCGTCATTTATTTTCTCGTCATTTATATTTTCCCGTCATTTATTTTCCGTTCTTTACAATTATGTCTTTACTTTCCGTCATATATTTTACTTGTAATTTACTTTCCGTTATGAGTAGCTAAGCTTTTATAGCTTGGGTGTGAGACGGAAATGTGAGATTTTCAAACCAAAATAAAGTAGCTAAGTGTTTTCATAAACGACGTTCCGTTGTTTCATTCGAGTTTTTATAAAAACCAAGTACACTTCTTGACGGGTTGATCACTTTGAAAGTGTTAAAGTGACATGGACTTAGAGATAAGCCATTGAATGCACGTCAACTTGAATGATATAAGAGGTAGACTTGAGAAAGTTGCCGACAAGGAGACTTGTCATTTATGTCTTTCAAACTTCATTCCCGACGGGTTGGTCACTCTTCAAAAGTGTCAAAGTGCGATAGATTCAGAAATGAACTATCTAGAACACACGCCAACTCGAATGATATGGGAATCGACTTGAGAGAGTGATTTTTAACTAAGAGATTTGTTTATCCATATAATTTGAAGACACCATCTAGTCACTATCCCTGGTCCGGATACCATATAGAGATATGGGTTGAAAGCTATAATATAGCGCAATGGTGAAGTCCGAGAGGAATACTTTCAAAATAGATGGTGGAACTATTTTTTGAAACACTGCTTGCTGTAGCATTCCTACAGCATTGGCTATTGGAAATTGTGTTTGGGTCTCACCGCAAGTCTTACACCCTTGCTATCCTTATATATTATGTTTTCTGTTTTAAATCACCTTAATTCCAAACTGAAGTTTTCAAAATCATCATCTGAAATCATCTCTTTCATTGGACTCTCATTTAATTTTTGCTACAATCTCCGTAGAGGATAATCCGGTACTTATACAATTTTATTACTTGGAAAGACGATATTGGGCCGTATTGTATACTTGTTTTGTGGCCCAATTCCTTTTTCGAACGGCGGTTACCCCTGCCTTCAATTTGATGGTCTTACTGACCGACTGGTTTTTCGGTTGTCTTCTCAGTTCCGGTTAAGGTAAGTCCCCTTTTTTCTGGTGGGTGCCAGTAGGTGGTAAGTTTCCTTCTGAATTTTGGCCTCCTTGGGTATCCCCCGTATGATTCCAATCGAACCCCGTATGAAGTTATTGACGATGGTTCCTTCTGTTGTGAATTGGCGGTTTCTGGTGACTTTCTCGGTTCCTATTTGGTATATGGTAGATGATGAGAAACTTTGGTTTGATTAAACCCAAAGCTTAAATAAAAATAACAAGAAACTAAAATACTAAACTTTGTTTCTTCTAATTAATGTCGAGATTAACTCAACAGATCATATTATTGACTTACTTTATTGTGCTGAAATGCAAATATTTCTGTGTAAAAGTTATTTATATCAGTTTTGGTGTTTATCAACCTTCATATGCAAAGAAATGATTTACTCACTAGACCTTCAGGTCTAACTCTCATTTTGTGTTTCAAAAATGTGTAATGCAGGAACCGCGGAATCAAGGGATATTAAGGGGAAAGAGGAAATGTGATTATTTTTCTTTTATGATATCTACTTTTGGAAGATCAGAATGATGATTACTTATTTTGAAGATACATGTTGTTATACATATGTTAGTACATGATTTTATTTTTGGAATTTTTCATATGTAGATTTTGTACATATAAGAATCCTTATAATAGTGGGACCAATGTGGTATAAATTGTATTTCTTTGTAATGAAATATGTGTTACATGCAAATGTGGTGCAAGGAGATGTCACCAAACTGTTCTAAAGCGTTTGAAAATTTTGAAAATGATTTCGAGATGAAGATTTTGATCTGAAGAATATATTTGTTAAAAGGGGAGATTGTTATTTTTTTAGATTCGCTTATCAAATAGTGACAAAGTCTGATTGTCTTCATTGGGGAGACATACAAAGATCTTTTGAAGTGAAGACAAAGGGATTTGCTTTTAAAGAATGTGATCTCGAATACAAAGGGAGAGATTGTTAGGTCAAATATTATTATATCCTAGATCACAGAGCTTAAAAACTTGAAAAGGTCAAATTCTAAAGTCAACATAGAGTTCAATTGTAGTTTGACTTCTTGTATATTCAGTAAATTGTATAAATAGCTTGTATTGGTAGTTTGTAGCAAGATCTTGAACATGCTATTGAGTTGTTTTTATTCTAGAGAGAGAAGATTGAGAGACAAACATGCATTGAGAGACTTTATCAATATACATGATGATTTGATACGGATAGGCAATGGATAAGATAAGAGTTATTATGTTACCTTGTCCATTTAAAATAAAGGGTAACAGAAGAGATAAATATCCATGCTACAAAACCCATATCCATATCCTGCCCATTGAAATAATGAATAATGAAACTGGTAACGGATAAACGGCATAAAGAAGTCCATTTCGAATGAAAAATAATATTAGTAACATGAGATCAAAAGTAGTCTGAAAAAGTTGCCTGTCGCTGAACATGATTGAAGCTGTTGTATGTGCATAATTCTATCATCTTTCAGGACAACTACTTGTTGAAAGCAGGCAAACTGCTTCTAAGAGGCTGCCATATTTGTCCAAATTCCATGAACTCATCAATTTGAAGGCGTGGGATGTGTTTAGAGGCAGGCGAGATAAGTTGGGTACACATACATGTTCTTACCAGCGGAAATAACAATTTCATTTACATCAACCATTCTTGTTACTGCAAACCTCCTGTCCTATCATATCATCACCTATCCTATAATATGCAAATACTTTCTACTTCCAAACATACATACATATACATGTGTAGAGGGAGGTTCGGGGAAAAAACCTCAAGAAATAAAAAAACTGAGGAACACCCTGGTAACCGTTCATTTGGACGGTATGCACATGTGCATATTGGTCAGTGAAGTTGTTTCTTGGTTTTTATGCACGTGCGCATATTATGCACATGTGCATACTAGATAAATTGCTTAAAATTAACAATATATACATGTGCATACCGTGAACGGTTATTAGGGTGTTCCTCAGTTTTTTATTTTTTTACGGTTTTCCCCTAAACCTGACTCTCTCTCTCTCTCTATATATATATATACACACACACAAATATTCTGTTCTTTCTAGATCAAACATATATACACTAAATTATCTAGGCTATCTTGTGTTATTCATACAATAATGATCATATACCATGCAACTTTGCATGTTGGATTCAAAACCACAATAAAATATGGGTTCTCAAAGCAAAGGCTAACTTACAGCAAGCCAAGCCTATCTTCAAGTTCTTTCCTGTACACCTGAATCAAACCGCTACCGTCTGCCACTTGAAGCTTCTGATTTAACAACATCTTGTATTCATCATCTCTATCTTCTAAACCACGCATCTGTTCAACCTACAAACATGAAATCATTTACCCAAAAAGAGTGTTGTTGATATCTTTAGCAAATTATTCATTAGAGACTTGAAATGGTGATTAATTAATAATGTTACCTGCTTTTGAAACATTTCAAATTCATCAGAGCTCAAAGAACCATCACTGTTGGCATCAAGAAGCTGCATCATCTCACGAGCATCTTCCCCTTGTGCACCAAGCTCTATCATCACTTCCATAAGTTCCTCAATGCTAATCTTACCATCTCCATTCTTATCAAGGAGACGGAAGATACGATCCCTGCTATCACTCCCATCGTATTTAGGGTTTCTGGAACTAAAATCTTTTAAGCGCAATGCAGCATACTCTGCAGCAGCAATCATAATGGTCTTCAGCCGCTTTGCCTACACCAACATTCATAGATCATTATCATCATCTGGGGAAACAAAGAATCCAAAATGCATATATGTTAGGGACACTTACTTCTTCAGGATTAGCAAGACCACCTTTGTAAAATGCATGTGAAGCTGTTCCGTCTGATGCCAGTATATTCATCTCTGCTGTCCTTATTTGTATCTCCATTAGAGGTCTAATCCCACTCACATCAACTGCCATGTGTAGACTCTTGTAACCATTAGCTTTAGGTCTGGAAATATAGTCTTTGGATCTGCTGGGCACCTCCTTCCACAAAGATTGGATTACCGAGCGTGCCCTGTAACATGCTTTCTCACATTCATCTGTTGTAACCAACTTGGAACAAGGCCTCAATATGACTCGCAAACCAAGGATGTCGTTTACCTCCTCAGGCTTGCGGCCATCTCTCAACAACTTCTTCATAGTGCTGTAATGACTTTTATAACGACCCTCAACCAAGATTTCATCCACCATTTCTACTAGGATGGAGTCTGATTTCAACAATTGGAGCAGCTGTTCCTTTAGAACATCAATTATAGGCTTGTTCCCTGTTTCATGGCCCCTTAACCAGGCGTTTACATAGAGATATGAATAAGGAAACAAGTACTGAAAACAGAGATCCTCAAGTTCAAGGGACAGAGAATTGGTCCCAACAGCATGGGCTAATGGAGCATGTATCTTCATAACCTCAAGAGATATCATCTGCTGCTGATATCGTGGCAGGTACTCTAAATGCTTCATCATATCAAGCTTAAGAGCAAGATCAAGAATCAATGCCCTAACATCATAGTAAGTTAGACAGAATTTTCTAAGGGCCGAAACACTTTCATCATCGTAAGTGTCGACTTTGGAAGCAATGTTCTTGACACGAAAACTCTCATGCAACAAATGAGCAGTACTGACACCTATACGATCCTTCACATGGTACATGCTTATGGCACCTGCCTCCAGAACTTCCCTCAGTATACCAGCAGAAATGACTTCAGCATCCATCTGCAGGCAAAGTTAATTTGAGATTTCTTCAATATCCTATGTTATCACATCTATAAGCCACGCTCTAAACTTTAGGGTCGAGATCCGGTAGGTCAACATATTACTCCCAACCTCACCTTCAGTTGGGACATATTGGTTTGGTATATCCAATGTGGAGGCTAAGGGGGGAAAAGAAGGTAACACTATTGGATCATTTCTGTTGTCCATGAGAGTTAAACAACACGAATTTCAACCAGGCATTCGTGTTGCTGATGCTAAACTGGACGCTTGCAAGCAAAACACAATCATCTAATAATCAATTTGGGGGTGAGTTATGCGCCTCTTGCTCTATTTTATCTTTGATCATGAAAATTGCGTTAAGAAAGAAAAAACCATGATTCAATTGTCTAATATTTGCTTACCTGGAGATCGGCAAGGAGGAGTGCAATGGATAGTGCACGAGAGAGAGGGGAACGACCATCGGGAGCGAGAGGTAGAGTCTGCAAAATTGGGAGGCAAAGTTTCAGCGTCTTGAAAAGCAATCGAGAAGAGCTGGTGGAGAGCAACTGGTGATTATTGTTCTTAATCCTCTCCGTCAGCTCATTGAATGTCCCCACGAGCTCCACTACCATCTTCCCTCCAGGCTGTTCAAGGACCGGCATTGAAGTTGGAGGAAGAGAAAGAGACATTCTGGTTCCGGCGACTCGATGGGAGGAGGTTGATGCTTGAAGAAGAAGAAAGGGGAATTTGGGCAAAATCCGAAAACTACTGAGGCCATTTTTGGGGAAAATGATAGCGAGATTGTAAGGCGATCGAGTGTGCAAATAGACCTTCATTGGAGATATTTCGAAGGTTTCAATTGATTGAAATGGAGTGAAGGGCAAGAGGAAGAAGAGAGTGTGTGTTTGATTCCTCGATTACGACGATGACTTAGCAGCCTACGAAATACACCAACGGCTTACTGGATAGCAAGGGAGCCACGTCATTTTAACGGAATAACTCAATAATGACATGTCGTTGATTTATCTATATTATCTTATTAAGCAAATTTAATAAAATTCTTAAAGTTTTAAAATACTAGATGACCAAAATATTTTTTATACTCATTTTTCCACTCCTTCCTCTCCTCACATACATTCACCCCCTCACATACACTCACCCTCTTACAACCGATTTTTTTAAAATTATAATTTTAAATTTATACTTTATACCACTATAATTAATTAATTAATTTACTTTACGTCATTTACTTTTAAATGTTTCATTTTAAACATTTATCAAATTAATATATATAATCGTATATCAATAAACATGTTTAAAAATACATTTTTATTATAACAAGTTACACAATTATAATCGTCTCGTTAATACCTTCGAAATGAGTCCAATATTAAATAATTTTTTACTTAATTATATTATTATATATTATATATATTGTGAAAAAATATTTTTAATATTTACGATTTATACTTTTATAGTTATTTATTTATATATATACTATATATTTTGGGGTTAGGCTGTCCAAATTGCACTATATAATATGTTCTTGGGTTTTTTTGAAATATATATATATACATGTATTAATTCAACCTTAATCTGAGTTTCTGGACAAGAAAGAGGGTAAGCAGTTGAAATTTCATTCTAAAACCCATCTTTTTTTGTCTTTTCATGACTTATGATCTGTCAAATTTGTAGTTTTCTTTATTGGTTTTGAGTGTTTATCTTAAAACTTGGTTCTTTGCTCTTGGTGTAAATCGAATATATTTGTGGAGTCGTTTAAATATGTTGGATTTTAAATATATTGGATTTTAAACTGTCATACAATTTTTTTCATTGATAGTCTGTAATTGGAACCATAACTCTTATTTATTCAAATTATATTAATATGTAAAGACCAAGTGTAACATATATTATCGTTAAATCTTATCTTATAAAACCAGTGGAACTTCAAAATCGTTAAAATTTATGGCTCCCGCCGCATTACACGGGTACACAACTAGTTACATAAAGAAAAGTGCCTCTCCTTTGCATTTTGCCACCATTTCGGTCTGTAAACCAAACCGTATGGTCTAATTCTGCCTTTTTATCATTTTTCCTTTATTTTAATTTCTAGTTATTTTTGTGTTTTTTTTTAATTTTTATCAGTTAGATTTCGGTGAGAAAAAAAATTATGGGGATATAGATACTTGGATCAATTTTAATTGAAGATCAACACTAATATGATGTACTGAGATATCAATTCCTTTTTAAAACGTAATTTATAAATAGACATAAAATTAAAAGTAATAAATGATGGAAATTATTTATTACGCTTCTAATCTTAACTATTTTTTCCCACACGATTCTTCGTCCAATGACAAAAGCATCAAGAACAAACCCTCAAAATAGAAGAGGGTTGCAGTGTTGATATTTATGTATAAAAATCAATCATTCAGTTATTTATTTTAAACAAATATTCATAAAGTTATTTACTAAAAAGGTATTACTCCTTATTGTTTTATTTATACTTTGTATTTAACAATAATAAACCTTAGATTATTAGATATTTTAAAATGTTCCTTGGCCTTGCGTTGTTGGGATGGTGGTATAACAGAATCCACATAAAAGGATCTTAAGGTATTGGATGTGAACACTGCATTGGATGTAATATGAACGTCATGAGTATATTCACATGTAATCATAGTATATGGAGTCTTTAGACTTGAGATCATGAAGACTAATGTGTATATGTGGCATATTTTGATTGATGATTCAATTATACCGTGACTGGTTGGAACAACTTCTATTAGATATGTCATATATCATATGAACGGGGATATCATTTATCAAGATAGGGTTTGTCTCTCCCACAATAGGAGTAAAGTCATTGGGTCTTGTTTGGGTGAAAAATCCCTAAACAGTGACTGATTAAGATAAGATCTAAGACAACAATATCCCCAATATACGATCGTTCATAACCAAGACAACTGATTATTTAACTATTAACAACGTTCGTCATTTTTATGGTATTCATTGCAGGTAATATCCACAAATAAAGATTAATGGTGAAAGATTCTCTCATTAAAGTGTAAATTGTAACTCACCAACAAGAGTTATCAGCCTGATCAAAGACGTATAATATCCGCTCCTTTTATTTTGGATATAAAGCAATGGTTACAAGAAATACAAGTATAAGTATGAAAATCAAACCACTCCAAAGGGGATCGAATAATTCAAACCCTCAATTGCTCTTTGTAGATTACATTTCCTATTAGAAATTATACTTTATTATACATGATCATATTTATTATCAACGATCTGTAATAGTGACCTTTAAGATAAAGGACAACGTCCCTTCTCGTTTATAGTGCATTGACGATACTTATGATCGTGCACGATTTTTATGCTCGACGAAGTTTTCTGCGTCATCGGTTATCTATGTCATTTATCTATTATTGTCTCAGAGGTTCAATTTTTAGTTGACAATTTCATGATCCAACCTCAATTTGCTTTGTGCATTTTTGGTAAAAACAATTTGGCCCTCACCATGAGCCCAACTAAGGATTTCCTTCAAAATAAAACAAACTCTTCCTAACAAATCTTTTTCTGCATGATTTTTTTTATCTAATATGTCGACTGCAGGATTCGATCAAAATATCATGGCTAGAATGCAAGTCGATCAACAAGTCGGTCGACAACAAATTGCTCAATTTATTGAGCAGAAGCGCACCAGGATCTTTTAAATCTTCGACATAATCCCTTAACCCAAAGAATAATTGTGACTTCTTTTAATGTTGTTGGATCCTCTATAATCCAACCTTAATTCCTCCAAACTCTCTAAATATCCCATCTTTCACTAGACCTCCTTTTCTTAGTCTAGTTTCCTTGACCGAACAATCACAAGTATTAACTTCACCACCACCTTTACCACCTCAATGTTCATATTTTTCCCGATCCACTAACCTTGTAGCATCAATTCCCATGTCATCGATATTTCTTTCCACAAATATTCCTTTCTCTACTACAGAATACATAGTGTTCATGATGATGCAAAATCTTTTCAGAGGAATTGTGTTCATGCAACTATTGGACTCCACACCCGAAGCTCTAGTTTCACTAATCCCATAATGTCTATCCTAATGCAAGCTTATACACGACTAGAAGAAGAGGGCCCGTCACCTTAAAATTACTTGAAAAACATAATGATCAAGTCTTGTGGCTTTTATCCATGTTACCAGGAGCAACAACACTTATTGGTCTTGAACTTCCAACTGGATTTCATGTGTCACCCTTTGCCGACCATATTGACCTAGTCGATGTTCCAAAAAAATATAACATGTCCACTTTACACCTAAATACTCTGGAATCACCGACCCTTATAAGCATGTTGTTTAGTATAAATAATTGGTGTGGACCGTATCTATTCCTCAAACTAATCAAGAGATTTGTATGTGGAAAAAGCTTTAGGGCGACATTAACTGGTGTGGCACTCTGATGGTTAGCTAACCTAAAACCCAAAACTATCAATTCTTTTGCCAACCTTATTAACCAATTTTTTTCAACGGTTTGCTAGTAGTCGCAAATGGAAAAGAAAACTAGCGATCTGTATCACGCGCAAAAGCTTGGTGAATCCCTTTGCAACTATTTCATTCTTTCGATTCTGAATATGATTGGTATTCATAATTGCGACATAAGGATGGAAATCGAAGCCTACAAAAGGGGATTAGAAGAGGAGTTGAGGTTATATTTGGAATTAACCAAATATTCTGCTGAGACATTCGAGGATGTAAGAGCTAGAACATTGGCTCAGGTACGAGTAAAAGACGATATTATATTTCGTAAGAAACATTCTCACGACAAGCGATCTCTCTCAGTGTCAAACGACTAGATTTTGAACCCAAAATTAATCCTTGACATGAGCAAACGCAGCAATCAGGTTTAACAAATTGAAAAAAGAGATACCACAGTATCCTAAAAATTTCAGAGCATGGGTTTAAAAGAATCAACAAAGATTTGGTCGAAGCATTAAAAGCAATCAAGGTGGTCGTGAAATGACCCATGAAGAGCGACAAGCCCGATGCTTAGAAAGATAAATCCAAATGGTGCGATTTCCACTATGAGCCTGTTCATTTGACTGATGATAGTGTTACTCTCCAACAAGAAATTACATGGCTTATCCCTAAAGGACATTTGAAGGATCTCTTTACCAAAGAGACTCCCATAAAAACCAATTATAATCAGCAATCTCGGTCTCCTATTCACACCAAGGCGATTAATTGCATAATTGACGGATCAAATATTTGTAGATTAATTTGTTCTGTTGCTAAAATACATGTTGGTCAAACACCAGACAAGTCATTTATTTCAGGGTTAATAGGTCAGAATCAGAAGTGTCATTAGAGGTGATACCTATATCCTTTAACCAAGAAGATGCATGTGATTCATAGCAAAAATACCATGACAAATTAATTATCCAATTAACCATTGGAATTGTTCTAAAAGGATCTTGATTGATGGAGGAAGCTCAAAAAGTGTTATATTCCTCAAGACTCTTCTAAGTATGAGCATTACCGAAAGTGAGATTACCTGTCGTTCGACAATCCTTGTGCGATTTAACTACGACGTGGTTAGCACCATCGGAGAAATAACACTCCCCGTATTTGCTAAATGTGTCAACAAGCCAACCAAGTTTAACGTCATTGATCATTTATGTTAAACCCAATTTCAATTATATAACAATGAATAAACAATCAAGAACAATCTAGAGATCAAATCTAGAGATCAAATCATCATGTATATTGATAAACTCTCTCAATACATGTTTTCTCTCTCTAGAATGTATTATAATATGAGTTCTTACTAACAAC